GCAATGTGGCAGAGCCTTCCTTCCGGTCACTTCCATGGCATCCACCAACGCTTTTACAGGCTAGTTGATCAATTAAGTTCTGGTTTTACTATTACGGTAGTATACGTGCCAATTGTTACTGCTATAAGATTACCTGGGTATTTTCGACATTTTCCCCGTTGGGTTATTCTTTTCCGGCTGGGTATATTTCTGTTTGAGGTTGCTTTGGCTCACTGGGCATCTCTGTGTTTTGTAAAGTTCCCAAGACTTCAGTCCGTTCGTATATATACGTACCACAATACCAACCAAAGCGTTGAACTCATGTTCACATGGATCGCATCTTCTCCTGCTCTTTATGGCCGTGCGCCTCCATAGTCCATCCGGCCTTCCTGATTGCGCACGCCGCCATGCAATCCGACCATGGCGGCGCCATCGGCCACCCCACGTCGGACGGCGCTGCAATGGTCTGGCAACCAAAGCTCCACCTCCACGGCCGGCTAGGGGCACCGCATCCTATGAGCCAGAGTGGATCGACCTCGTCGACGACAATTCAGCCGTGGTAGTAAGGAGCGACTTGCCATACCATTGCGGCGCCATCGGCCACCCCATTTCCCTATCTTGATAGCCGCGCTGCTGTAGCAGTTTGATGCATGCATGTGCTTGTAGCGGCCACCCAATCTGATGGTCAAGTAGCGCTGAGCTGTAGCGTGCATGCATCCTCGGCAGGAGAAGGAAGACAGAACGAGAAAGGAGAGGGTAGGGGCAAGAAAAAGAAGAGACTAGGAAAGAAGGGGAACATCCATATGGATTTTCAATTCGGATTCACGGTCTGCAAGTCACTGCCAAACCACTGTTAAACTGTTAATGTATGATTGGCTTTAACTGGACCAGAATCCTAGTTCGCATGAATTAGTATATTTTCCAAGCAGAACCGGCATTAGGTTACACCCAAGGTTTGGATCCCAAGTAGACATTTTCTCTACCACATGAAACATATGGTAAGCAATCCAAATAATTCAAAAAAAAGTAGACATTTTCTCTCGCAGGGCACCGAAATTCTCGGTTATCGCGGTAACCGCAAAATGCCAGAAAAAATTCGTACAGAATTTAAAATTTGAATTGAAATTCATTTTTTCTTATCATACTATATCTTAGTTCTGACCCCTATCTTTCTCTTGCCTTCGGATCGAGGTATCGAATCCCACCGTCGCCTTATTTTTTTCGCTTATCTCCCTTTTTACACTGAAAAAGGATGGTAGTAAGGGAAGGGACGATACTCAAACCCGCGACCAAACGAATTGATGGGGAAGCACGCACATACCAATAGACCTCAGCTGCCTATCCGTTTTCTATGAGTTCCAGTTGTATTTAACCAGACTTTGAACGTTTAAATTCAAAATTTTCAAAAAGTTTTGATTTTTTTGCTCGGTACTTAGATTTCTCGTGGGGTAACGAGAAACTTGATTACCGCCCGGTATCCGAATATTTCACTCAGTACCTAAAACCATGGTTACAACACGAAACGTGTAGATAATTTCACGTTGATCATCACAGTGTACTCATTTTTTTGATTTGGTAAAGCGGATCAATATTTATAGCTTAAAACAAATATGTCCATTACCGGTCTCAAAGTTTGAATTAAATAGGGAAACTAGGATCTCAGGGGGTGTTTGTTTCTAGGGACTTTTTTGTGTAGGGACTAGAAAAAGTCCCTCTTAGAGACTTTTTTACCAAACGGGAGGGACTTTTTAGGGACTAAACTAGGCATTTGGGACTAAATGAAGAAGACTCTCAAGAAGAGTCTTTTTTCGGACTTTTTGGGACTTTTCCAACAATGCCCCTCCATGCATTCAATGGCCCGCCACCCCATGGTGTTGTTTGATTGTTATTTTTCTATATACTAGGGGCAACATGGTCATTTAATAACCATTAGGAAGGGACTAGGGACGTTTTAGTCTCTGGAAACAAACAGGGAGGGACTTTTTAGGGACTATAGACTTTTTAGTTAGGACTAGAAAAAGTCCTAGGACTTATGAACCAAACAGGGCCTCAGTATCATGCCAAGGGCCATAACTAAACTTGTACTCTATATTTACCTCACGGTCATCAATGGGTTAGTTCTAAGGTAGCTTTACACAGGTTTTGACTGGCAGTAAAGAGCTACTTTGTTGTTTCATCACTGGTATTAAGGCAAGTGAATGGTGACCTTGTTATATGGTTGCCCATTGTTGGGTTTTTTCTGTTGCTAGCCGTTCTTGTGGTTCGGTTCCTTTTTTATTGGAATATTGTGATTGGATATTTGTTAACCTGGCGCGGTGAGAACCGTCGCACATGCACTACTCTGTATAGTTGGTGAATTTCGTCGCATGTGCACTACTCTGTTGTGCTCGATCCAGGTCAGTGAGAACCTTTACAACATGATCAGTCAACGTCGTGTGTGAATTGTCCGTAATGCTCATTGCTCAGTGTGGGTTCCAAGGGTGTTGGATTCTAAATCGTTTGCCTTAAAGGGACTTGATGTTTGAATGGTGTATTTCTATGACTTGTGAATTACTGTTCTTAAGGCTCTAGATTGTACTTGGCTGAGTAATGGTTTATTCACTCTTGCTTCTGTTTTGTTGGTTTTTATTTGGTTATGTACTTGAAGTAGCTGCAATGCATGGGTGGGAGTCCCAAAATATGTCTCCAAGGGCATCACGACAATTATTGTTGCCAAGATTGTGCACATTCTAGTAGATCACATTGACATTAGGCTGCACCATTAATGAAACCAAGAGGGCACAAGAAGTCAGTCGATAGCAGATACATGGTGGGCAACACAACAAAAGACGAAGAGTGGACGCGTAGTGAAGAGTCAGAGAGCCTCGAGCAAATGAGGGAGACCATCATATTCATTGTACATTCCTCCAGAGTGTTGTTGGCCGGGAGGACTACGTAGTTTGCTGCAAAAGCAGGCTCGATTATACTGTGGAGAGGAGCATCACCGATGCGTTGAAGCTTTGTTTCCTAGACGCAATCAACGGTAACATATGTGTCTTGAACGATGTCACAAAGGAGAACACAACGTTGGCTGGTAAGGGTCTTTTGTGGTCTATTGTCCGCCTAGGAGGCCAGTCACACATTCAAGAAGATCACCTTGACGTTAGGTTGAACCATTAATGAACCCCCAAAGGCACAACTCATCGGTCGATCGAATATGCGTGGTGGCGAAGCACGACAAGCATGCAGAGTGGAGGTGCAGTGAAGATTAAATATAGATGACACACTTGCTAATAGGAATGAGACCCTCTAACGTAGCCAAAATTATGACATAGGGAATTCTAATTCAAATTCATCGTTCGTGTGCCATGCAACATCAAATAAGCAACACTCATGGGTGCATGACTCAATCGTCCAAGAACTGTGATGTGGCTCAGTCAGTCGAGTGTGCACCAACGTAAAAGTCCGTTGCTGGATGAATTAAGGACGAGCTGATTGTGGATGAATGAAGGACGAGCTGCTCTTCATACCAAGGAAGAAGCCTATGGCCGTTGGCCTTAGGTAGGATATTAAATGCACATTGGTAGTAGAATATTAATTGAACACTGATAGTAGGTAGTTATTAATCGTGTGTTAATGGTTAGCTTTGACATTTGTATTAGGTATGATATTAATTGCGTGCTAAACATGTCGGGTGCCCAACACACTGGGTGCTCAACATGGATAAATCTAGGTCGTTGGATTGACATGGTTTGATAGCTGAGATTAGTTGGATCTCTCCCTTTGGCTGTTTTTCTATTGGTATAAAGTTTTAAAATTTATGAACATTTATTCAAAATTGGAAACATGATTCAAATTTATGAATAGTTCTTTAGAATTTGTGATTTTTTAAAAATTTATAAAGACTTCTTTATCTGCGATTTGTTTAATTCATGAGAATTGTTAAAATTGTGAACCTTTTCATTTATATGTTTCTAAACATTCATAAACATTTATAAAACTGTGATCATTTACAAATTTGCAATAAATAAGAATAAAATTTGTGAATATTTTAAAATTCATGGATATTTAGGAAAATTCTTGAACAGTTTTTAGAATTAATGAATTTTTTAAATTTCGTGAACACCTTTTAAAAATTCATCAAGATTTATAAAATTAACAAATATTTTAAAAATTCTTGCGTAATGTTTCTAAATAATGAATTCGTGAACTCTTTTTCAAATTTGTGACCATTTTTTTACATTCATGAACATTTTGAAAAACTCTAATTTCAAATTGATGAATGTTATTTTATTAAGTATAAAATCATGTAAGATTGGATTTTTTTTCAAAAATGTGGAAAATAAAAAAATTGAGATAATAAAGCAGAAATCGAAAAAAATGTACAGTGGTAATTAGGTCAACCCGCCTAGAAAAGCAACGATAGTGACACGGTCGCGGGCCGCCTAGCGTGACGTGTTTTTTTTATGATTCTCGGCCTAGCGATGTGGCTAAAATGAACATGCAAACTTGCTCTAGGACACGCGAATCAACCTGTGGTTGAGTTGGTTGGGTAGACAGTGGTATTCCCAACTCATCAGGGTTCAAATCCTGGTGCTCGCATTATTCCTGGATTTATTTCAGGATTTCCGGCGATACGCTTTCAGTGGGAGGAGACGTTCCCGTCGACGACGAGGCGCCTACGGTGACTTCGTAAATCTCAAGATGATATGCCGGCTCAGTCTCTCGAAGGTGCTCATAGGGGTAGGGTGTGCGTGTGTGCGTTCATAGGGATGAGTGTATGCGCGTGTATATGAGCGTTCATAGGGATGAGTGTATGCGCGTGTATATGAGCGCTTGTGTTTGTACTGATGTTCAAAAAAAAAACTTGCTCTAGGACACGATAGGAACCAGAATCCAATTACGGCTTTGTATCGTTGGAAGACAGAGATGACTCCTCCCGACTCGATCTGGGATTCCCTCCAGGCCGGCCTACATATACATACACAGGCGCGTGCGTCGGACATACCCAATCGCAACAGAGTTTACTTGGTACGTCGTCAATGGGTGCCACCACGAGCCAATCGGCGCCCATGACGAGCGTGGTGACGGTCCCCAGGTACTCCAAGCTGGTGCGGTCGCCTGACGTGCTGTCTGTGGGCACACTCTTGTTCCGCGACCTCTACTGGGACGTCCAAGTGAAGCCTATGGGTTTCGACGAGGACGGCCTAGCGGAGGACTTGGTCGTCTCGGCCGCCATCAACCGCGGGCTGCACACACTCGATTCGGCCGTCGGCACCTATATCTCCATCGAAATCCTCGACGCCACCGGCAAGCACACCGTCTTCCACAATGAGAGCAACCGGGCAACGATACAAGAACCCAGCGAGTGCTTCATGTTGTGCCTATGCGTGAGCAGGAGGGAGATGGAGGCGTCGTCGTGCGTGTGTGCCCGTTACAACGAATTCACCCTCAGGTGCACCCTGGAGAAGAAGCAGCAGCAAAAAAAGCGGCCACGCCTCCTCGGAAACTCGTTGAAATCCGATGCTGTCTTGGAGCCACCGCAGGTCGCCATGGCCGGGTCCCACACGCTTACCATCGGGAGTGTCTCCCAGCTCAGGGCGGCACTTCAGGACGGGGAGTGTGCCTACTCCACGCACTTCGCCGTGGGAGGGAGCACATGGTACCTCAAATTCTGCCCCAGATCGTATAAATTGACTTACCTGTACCTCGTCCGCGCGAACAAGGTGGAGGAGACCCCGGTAACGACAGCCGAGTTCAGCTTTGAGCTCGAGGGGGCGGTGAACTTCGAGTCCCAGAAGATGAGACACACATTTGACCGTGACAATGATGACTTCTACTGCCAGCTGGAGCAAATTGGCGCGTCGCCCATGCAGGAGGACCGCCTCGTTGTTCGGTGCTGTCTCGCCATTATCATGCCGGAGGAGATTCCGACCGCCGTCACCTTGTGCAGCGAATCAGTGCTGACTCCTACTTGGCGCCATGCATGCCTAGCTAGTTTGCGTTGCAGAAGGCAAGTTCAGGCAAAATTAGTATAGCTCCATATGCCGGCAAACTCATTTGTAATTTTTCTTTTTTGGTAGAAGAACTTATTTGTCGTTTACCGAATAGCCAGGTACAATGTCGGTTTTGCTAGATATCAACTTGCTGAGATTTAGTTGTCGTAAGTTTCTTTTTGTTGTTCTCATAAGTTTGTCGAGCGGCCATTGCTGTCACTTTTCTAATGAAGTCAAGCCCCTTCTGGATGTCCGCTGTTGCACTATGTTGTGTCTTACCATAGACAAGAGGTATATACACCTTCTTCACCAACTTTCAGTTAAGGTGACGGCTAACGGCTTCCTTGACACTAGCTTTCAGAGATTATGAGTTGTTGGGTTACGGCCCCGTCGGTATGTGTCCTTTTTGGTTTTCTTTTGGACGCCGATATCTACTGTTCGATCTGAGGATTGACCTCCTAGACCAAACGAGTCGTTCGGTGGGAAAGATCGATCAAATCGAACGAGATCGATCACGCGATCTGTATATAATGGACGTGGCTAGGGAACGCCTGGGCGCTCGCTCACAAGATCGAGCACACCTTCCGTTTTGGGAAAGGAATCAGGAGATATGCTAGAAATAGGAAAGACCAGGCTACAGAGCGCATATGGTCCCCCCTCCTACCAGCATGTGCTCACCCGAACCGCACGCCCCACCTTGTCCCCATCTCCCCTCCTTTTCTTGGATCCCGACGCCAAGCCCCCAATCCTCCAACCGTCGTCCTCCTTCCTCTCGTTCCCACCTAACCCTCTCCAGAATCCTCTCTCCTTTAGATCTAAAAAGCTTGGCAACCATGACGCCTTGAAGAGAGCATCTTGCTCCCCTCCTCAAACGCTCAAATCAAGTTGCAGCAATAAACAGGTGACAAAACCTACACACCCCTCTCCATCTCCTCCCCCTTTCACTTGTTTTAATTGCTGGGATACTTGAGCAGCAAAAAAAAGGTTGATCATTAGTAAAAACTTGGTTTGGCTCCTTGATAAGAAAAGCAGTTGGGCAAAACACACAATTCCTATAAGATCTTGAAAATAGAGCTACCAAAAAGCTAGGCAACTATGTACTGCAAGTAGTCCCACACGCTTACCATCGGCAGCGTCTCGGAGCTCAGGGCGGCGCTCCATGACGGGGAGTGCGCCTACTCCACGCACTTCAATGTGGGCGGGAGCACATGGTACCTCAAATTCTGCCCCAGATCGTACGAATGGACCTGCTTGTACCTTGTCCGCACGAACAAGGCAGACGAGACGCCGGCAACGACAGTGGAGTTCAGCTTTCAGCTCGAGGGGGCGGTGAACTTCGAGTCCAGGAAGATGAGACACACGTTCGACCGTGACAATGATGACTTCTACTGCCAGCTGGAGCAAATTGGCGTGTTGCCCATGCACGACGACCGCCTCGTTGTAACGTGCTACCTCGCCGTTATCATGTCAGAAGAGATTCCAACCGCCGTCCCGACGTGCAGCGAATCAGTTCTGACTTCTACTCAGGGCCATGCATGCCTAGCTAGTTTACGTTGCAGAAGGCAGGTCCATGCAAAACTAGTATAGCTTTACATGCAACCAAACTCATTTGTAGTTTACCGAATACTCCCTCCCTTTCGGTTTATAAGTATCAATTCAAAAATCTCATTAACCAAGATAGATGATGAATGATGGGATTATTTTTGTAGTTTGCAAAAGTACTCAATTAATGAGTTTGTTTTTATCAAGAAATTGTGGTTTCTCAATTAATGCATGACAAATAAATGACCCAAAACCTTTACATGCATTGGTTAGTTTTCTCTTAATCCTGGCATGCAACAGTTTAATGCATGTTAAAATTAATCATGTGAGTCAGAGCAATAAAATTAGACTTATAAAATGGGAAAATATTTTCTTAAAGATGCCCAGTAAACAGGAAGGGAGTTGCTAGTCAGCTACGATGTTCTACAAAAGCAGTCAGTACAATGCTATATAAAAGCAGTTACACCTTATTTTTTCCGAAACTAACACAAAAAATGGGAATATTTTTGTTTTGTACTGCCTCCGTATGGGTTTACTATTCTTCATCGTACTTTGGGTCAATATTTGATCGCATATTAGATTATCAAAATGTTACTAATGCCTATCATGAAAAATTATATTGTTGGATCTGTATTTGAATGTAGTTTTCAATGATATATATATATATTCTATTTTCTACGCATAACCGATATTTTATAAGTTAAAATCATGATTAAAATATAAACTAAAATACGAGCGGATTAGTAGACTAGGACGGAGGTAGCACTACCTACATTTTTTTTATATAAAAGCAGTTAGGGCATCTCTAACGCCGATCATCAAAACCATCATAAATGTCTGACCCGTATGGTCTATACATGTTTTGCCCTTTGACGACATGCATCAAACGTTTGCGGATTGGGCCAAACATCCAAAATCGCATAAACCGGAAGCAAACTGGTAGGAGGTTTGCAGGCTTCCGAACATCCACCACATAGGCACCCGCCTAAGCAGTCCCACCCAAAAGCCTTGATGCGTGTTTCGCTCTAGAAGCATAGCCACGTATTCATGCCACTCCTCCACATCGCGTAGGGCGGATGCGACTGGACGACCACCTATCACATTCATGACGGTCAGACCAACTGAATGGAGGCTGACCGAAGCCACTTGAATCGAACACGGTGATCGAGAAGCTTGCCTCGGCTGCCCGCATTGTAAGGCTAGGGTTTGTTACTCTACTTCTACTCTATCAGATATTGAGATTGGATCGAGCATTCATCCTATTGTGGTAACTTGCAATATTATCAAATTCTTTTACCTAAGCTCTATGCTTGTTGGTTATTCCCTTCTCATGCGTGAGTAATCCTTCATAGGCATGGGAGATGTAGGGGAATAATGAGATTCATTTGTGCATATTCCATAGGGCGTTATTTATGAAACAAGCTTCATGATTCTTTATTAATTTGTTTATCTATGGTGAGTGTAATGTGTGTCAAACTTTAGGGCCCAAACAAAATGATGTGAAGACCTACGTGCGTAACACATATTGTTCAACAAATCCGTGACCAGTAAACATCTTCACTTCATGACTATTTTTTAAATTCCTAAATATTTTAATGAATTCATGAATATTTTAAAAATGCATGGTTATATTTTTAGTCTATGAACACTTTTACAAATTCACATTTTTTATATAAATTTGTTAACATCTTTAAAGTTTTTTTGCAAATTAATTTAAAATAAATGATCATTTTAATTTGCATGAAAAATAAAATTTAGGATAAAAATATTTTTTAAAGTTCACACCGTAATGTGATTTAACATTAATAGTTCACATCTTTATGTGATTAGTTCACATCTCCATGTGACTAACACCCGAAGGGTTTACTAGAGTCGATAATCTAGTTTACATCGCTATGTGATTAACACCCAAAGGGTGAACATGTTTTGCTTGTGAGAGAAATTTAGTCAACGGGTCTGCCACATTCAGAGCCATATGTATTTTGCAAATTTTCTATGTCTACTATGCTTTGCACGGAGCTACTCTAGCTAATTGCTCACATTTTCAATATGTACCTAGATCGAGACTTAGAGTCATCCAGATCGGTGTCAAAGCTTGCATCGATGTAACTCTTTACGACGAACTCTTTGTCACCTCCATAACCGAGAAACATTTCCTTATTTCACTAAGGATATTTTTGACCGATGTCCAGTGATCCATTCATGGATCACTATTGTACCCTCTTGCCAAACTTATGGTGAGGTACACAATAGGTCTGGTACACAGCATGACATACTTTATAGAACCTATGACCAAGGCATAGGTAATAATGTCTCATTATCTTTCTATTTTCTCCGTGGTCGGGTTTTGAGTCTTTACTCAACTTCACACCTTCCAACACAGGCAAGAACTCCTCTTTGACTGTTCCATTGTGAACTACTTCAAAAACTTGTCAAGGTATGTACTCATTGAAAATATATGAAGCATGTTGATTTATCTCTATATATCTTGATGCTCAATATGTAAGTAGCTTCACCGAGGTCTTTCTTTGAAAGAAATCCTTTCAAACACTCCTTTATGCTTTCCAGAAAATTCTACATTATTTCCGATCAACAATATGTCATTCACATATACTTATCAGAAATGTTGTAGTGCTCCCACTCACTTTCTTGTAAATACATGCTTCACCGCAAGTCTGTATAAAACCATATGCTTTGATCACTTTATCAAAGCATATATGCCAACTCCGAGATTCTTGCACCCGTTCATAGATGGATCGCCGGAGCTTGCTCACTTTGTTAGCACCTTTAGGATCGACAAAACCTTCTGGTTGCATCATATACAACTCTTCTTTGAGAAATCCATTAAGGAATGCAGTTTTGACATCCATTTGCCAGATTTCATAAAAAGCGGCAACTGCTAACATGATTCGGACATACTTTTAAGCATCGATACGAGTGAGAAAATCTCATCATAGTCAACACCTTGAACTTATCGAAAACATTTTGCGACAATTCGAGCTTTGTAGATAGTAACACTATTGGGGAACGTAGTAATTTCAAAAAATTTCCTACGCACACGCAAGATCATGGTGATGCATAGCAACGAGGGGGAGAGCATGATCTACGTACCCTTGTAGATCGCAACGGAAGTGTTGACACAACATAGAGGAAGTAGTCGTACGTCTTCTTCCCAATCCGACCGATCCAAGCACCGTTACTCCGGCACCTTCAGTTCTTAGCACACATACAGCTCGATGACGATCCCCGGGCTCCGATCCAGCAAAGCTTCGGGGAGGAGGTCCGTCAGCACGACGGCGTGGTGACGATCTTGATGTTCTACCGACGCAGGGCTTCGCCTAAGCACTACAACGATATGATCGAGGTGGAATATGGTGGCAGGGGGCACCGCACACGGCTAAGGAACGATCTCAAAGATCAACTTGTGTGTCCTAGGGTGCCCCCTGCCCCCGTATATAAAGGAGCAAGGGGGAGGCCGGCCGGCCCTAGGGGGCGCGCCA